CGCATTTGCTCCACCTATCTCCCCCCATGCAGTCAGGTCAACCCCGCATCTGGCCACCCAACAAGGGAAAGGTAAGCAAAGTAGACGGAAGGAGGTAGCCAGAGGGGGGCACTGCCTCGAATAAAAATAACTAGCGAGTGGAAGCGGTGAACGTTACCTGTTGCTATTGCTTATATGTGCTGCAGCTGACCACACTGCGTTGCTGCAAGGAAACGCGTCGCCCTAGGTCAGTACGCCACTCTGTGCCTTGCACCTAGGCTGGGAATCGCAGTTTAGTGAGCACGTTCAGAGTCAAACCTAGCATGAGGTCGACTTCCACCCTGGCCCTGAACCCCAGCATATGCACGTAATGGAAATGCTGTCGCTGGCAGTGCCAATCTAACCATAGGTAGACAGAGGGGCCTGACAAACACCTGTAAACTCATTAGCGCCGGAGAGCACCCAGACACCAAGATGTATCTCTCTCTATTCTGATGGAGATGCGGCTGTCACCGCGCTACGATGAAGGAGGTTCCAGTATGAAACTTAGAAGTTCAACGTATACACGAGAACAAGAAGTGGTTTCCGTTTTCGCTGGGGCATTTCAGCGCAGGTCACTTCGCTTCTTCTTCAACACAGCCTTCCCGCAGTGTCAGAGCCATTCTCCCAATGAATGCTGTCAGCCTTCGCCGAAAGCTATGCTTCAATGCTTCATCATTCTAACTGTTCCTTCACCCTTTGTGTGTGTGTTGTCCGTGTCCCACATTTCTTGGTGGACTCCGAGCCGTGCGAGCACTGATGGGCAAAATATGTAAAGGCGGAGCGTTGAGGACTTCCCATGGAGCAAAAGAGTTATAGTAGGGCATTCCCCAAAAACATCTAATCCCTTCACCCTGTTTCCAGGCATCTTGGGGACAGCAGCTCAGGAACGGGGGTTGGCTGTCGGGGAAGAGGCAGCCTGACATGAGTTGCAGCGCAACTTGCTGCAGCTAGCGATGTAAGCCAGCCTCACATGAGCGCAATAAAGCTTACTTTCCTGCTTGCTTTATCTCTGTACACACGTATGGAGCACCTGTACTTGCGTGCAGTCAGCCTCTCGAGGCAGAGTAAATTAGTAGGCTGCGTGTAGGCAAACACAAACGTTCTATAAGTGTATTCAGAGGTAAAGCATGCAGTAAAGTATGCTTCACTGAAGCTTCCTTGCGTGCACACCTGAGGCTAGCTTGTATCACCAGCCGCAGCGAGGTGCGCTTCAACCCACTTCAGGCAGCCTCGTCGCCGCAACACCCAGACGCTGAGCCCAACGCCCAGGACACCTGAAGACAGGGGAAGGAGGTCAGCTGCTTTCGGGAAAGTCTTAGTTTAAGTCTTTACCTGCATTGCAGCTCGCTTATGTCCTTGATTAAGGCCAGAGAGCAAGCGTTGTTACCGCCACGCAATACAGTAGCATCAGCACCGTACTGGTTTTGGGTCGCAGAGCGAAGCATTTAAAACACGTTGAAACTCAGGAAACAAAAGTAAACAATAATGCAGGGTAATAATGTGATGTAATAACTGGATTGCAGAAAGTAGATAGCTGTGTGTGTGGGCGTCGGCTTCAGTCTAGAGACGCCTAGAGACACTACATTGTCTCCAGCCACTGACGCCTCGACACCGCGCTTAACGAAAATTATGACGCTATCCAGTTCGTTCTGTATTTAACAAATCAAAATACAGAACAGGTTTGCTGTTGGGTAATTAGTGAGAGGTATATGGACGCCCTTCTGTTTTCTTATAAGTCGCTCGTGGCGTAGTTGGTATCGACCTGGTGAAGCTGCCACATCGGGCCTAGCGCCGTCGCAGCAAGGGGCTGTCTTTGCTGCAACGGTTCGACATGCCCCACTTCGCATAACTCACAGATGACAGATGCCTTTAATTGGCAGGACACAATGTTGTGTGGCAAAATTCACCACGGGAAAATGTGGGCTGGTGGTTTACGCTGCAGACATTAGGCATCATGCTGCCTCTTAGGCTAACCCCTGATCCAAGAACGACGCATCATACCGACTCACTACCTTCAAGCTTACCTTTGTTCTTCATGGCTGGCTGAAGCTTATTGCCACAGGTGTGCGTTCAACTCACCCACACTTCCCGGCGGCAGTTCCGGTAGTGAGTGAATACTGTTCGTGGATATGTGATCCAACACCTTGAAAACATCCAACAAACTGCATCATTAAACGTGAATTCGGCAGTCTCTTTCAAGGACTGGTAGCTTATGAGAGCTTATGGAGAGCTGTTCTGAAGGATTCCATGTGCTCCGACAACCTGGTCTTCGGGGTATTTTTACATTTCATCAAGGCTCCCAACAGGGTTCACCTGAATCTTGCAGTTCTTTTCCG